CAGTACAGCAAAAGAGAGCGCTTGCCGAACAAAGCGTGTTTGTTCCGCCGTTCTGCCTTCGGCCGGACATGAGGCGTTTCCTGAGTCGGTGGTCACGTTAGCCCTGAAATTTGTGTCAAAGCCAGTGAGTCAGTGGTGACACACACCTCCCACACTCCATCTCTCAGTGCAGTGATCTCAGTGCAGTGATATCCTAATCGGCGTGAGGCGGATCGCTCTCTTATGTAAGATTGCACATACGGTACTCTCTGCTGCCTTGTGCTGCTGGCTTTGTGGTGCCCGTTATAATGATTCCCACCAAAGGCCATTTTCAGGCCTTTTTAAGCAAAGCCCAGTGCTCCTAAGATCCTTGATATATGTAAGTTTGATATGCCATAGTAGTAGGATCTCCAGAACTGTAACTGGATCAGGTGCAGGACCATGGTTTGACTACTGGCAGATTGGATCTGGCGCAGCTTATTATTATCCTGAGTTTTTTTTTTTCGTTGTAATGAATGATGCTAATCCTGACCGCCTCAAAAATTTGTGTTTGATATCTCATCTGTGAAAGATCTGGCTTTGTAATGGTGCTTTCAGCCTGAACTCTCTATGTCTGTGCTGTGAAAGATCAGGCTTTGTTATGGGGGTGTTCAGTCTGAACTCTCTGTTTCTGGGATGTGAAACATCAGGCTTTGTAATGGGGGCTTTCAGCCTGAGCTCTGTTTCTAAGCTGTGAAAGATCAGGCTTTGTAATGGGGACTTTCAGTCTGAGCTCTTTTGTTTCTGAGCTGTGAAAGATCAGGCTTTACAATGGGGGTGTTAGCCTCTTTCAGGCTTCTGATTTTGTTTTTGGTGGAGAAATCAAATGTTGATTGAGACTCCAGCAAGAGTGGACGTGTGTGCCTGTTTCTGTGTGGGTTTGGAGAGCTTGTGAAAGCCCAGAAGGTACAAATAATTGGTTCCTTGGTGGGTTTGGCTGTGTGTGTGTGTGTGTGTGTGTGTGTGTTGCAGCACCAAATGAGCACAACATAACAGAAAGCAGGAATACTCAGGCCTTGTTTACCTTGTTTAGATTTTTTCTGGAATCAGCTTAGCTTGCCAGTGGGGTGGGGGATACAGTACCTCCTACCTGAAGTGAGGCGGCTATGGGGACCCAACTGGAGCCCTAGAGTCGGTGCCCTGAGCCTTATCAGGCAGAGATGGATGTGTGTGTGTTAGAGGGCGATAAAGACCCGCAAACGTGACCCACAGCTGAGGCTGAAAGCGCTCAGGCTGCATTTAGAGCCTGTGGGTGGTGTGCACATTAGCTGAACACATGTTGCATAAACACGAATCCCTGGGAAGAGGAGAAGCGGCTAGCTGGCCGTTCGCACGCCTCTGTGTGTTTGTGTGCGCGCAGCCCCCGTAAACCTGCGAGGACCTGCCTGCCTTTTGTCTCCAGTTACACTAATGAATATTTACGATGGCCATTTTTCCGTTCATGCTCACATAGTTTTATTCACGGTGACCGTGGGCCAGCAACTCGTCGCGTATGCGGTCGGCGATAAGAATTGCGGCTAAACTGAAGCTCTAATGAGCGGAAGCGAGGGCTGGTGTTGACTGAAATGCCCCAGAGAAAGCCCCCCCCCCCCAGGCTTTGCAATGCCATCCCAGCCCCTCCAGGGACCTTCGGCATATGGAGCGTTTGGCTCCCATGCGATACGCCTGAATACCTCTGCGTCTGTGGGCCGACTCTCTGGCGAGGTTTTGTGCACGGATGCCCTCAGGACTGATATGGGTCACGTGCCAAAATTCCGACCTGAACAGAGGAGCAGGTCACTGTTTTGTTGCTGTGTGTCACTCTTTGCAGTGAACATAAGCTCTGTTTGTACTGGAAAGCAGAAAAGCAGATACTTTTTTTTTTTGTGTCTGTGGCACCAAGTATATGGCTCTGGTACGTCAGTACAGCGCCCATGACGTCCAAGATGGTATGTGAGTGTCCCCAGTGACCGGATCAGACGCCTGCATTCACCTGTCACCACTCTCCTCTATAATTAAAGAAGGCTGCTGTCTTCGTGTGACCTTCCTTCATCGTCGGTCACCCTAACAGGCTCGGGAAACCGGATCCGAATCCCCATCCTGCCGCCTGCGGACCTTCCCTGGCACGCAAGACACCATGTCCGCTGAGAAGCGTCCAAGCGGGAATGCGGGATCCCTGGGGATCGTGACGAGGGAGCTGGGCAGCGAGGTGCCCGTGCCGCTGTCCTCCGGGGGCTGTTTGCCTATCCTGTCCTGCCCAGGAGCAGCTGTCTGTGTGCTTTGTAAAGAGTGCAGTGTTCTGTCCTGTCATGCATTTGAAGGGAACTGACAATATAAAGGCTATGCATGATGAAATCCCATTATGCCACAGTGCTGTGAACTGGAGAGCTGGCAGTGGGGGTGGGGGCTTTCTAGAAAATATTTTAATCTGGAGTCCGGAGGGTAGAATCACGTCTATTGAAAAATGCGAACTGCCAACAGAATGAGATTTGGCAAATATTAAAACTGAGCACATCTGATATGAGGAGACAACGTGGAGTTTGCTGGGAAGGCTGTGACACCCCTCCCCCTGCCCCCCAAAACTGGCATTTTTATTTTGCTGACAGAATTATCTGTCAACTGTAGTGCTAGACCGTGTGGAGAGATTTGAATTTTATGAGCCTGGAAAACTGCAGAGATGAAGGCCGTGAGCATCCAGGAGCTGCGGTCCAGCTACAGTCCCTTGTTTGTTTAAGCTCTGCTGTTAAAGGACAAACTGCAATGGGAACCTCGAAACTATCTGTAAATAGAGATAATGTAAGTGATTAAAACAGTCCCTTTGACTAATCAGTTAAGATTTGGGGTTTCATTAGTGGTCAGAATGACTGACCATTGTCATAATTCAGCGGTAGGACAGAGCTTATTGGACTGGCATTACATATGTGTGTCAGGGGTCATTGCAGTTCCTTTGGTGCTTCTCTGTGCTCCTTATCCTAGATTTAGTTATGGAACAATCTGGGCAAGATTGTAACAGACCTGAATGCCATCTTTATACCAGGAGACAAAGTGACTTGCCTCTGTGAACATGCGTGTGAATGCAGGCTTCATCTTTGCTGAGTGGGCAGAGTATACTGTATGTTAATGTCATTGGTTCACGGTTTCATATCATGCAGTAGAGATGTATCAAGAGTATGTATTTGGGGGAAAATATTCTGGGATGGGGGAGGCATTGCAGTTTGCCCAGTGTCTTTTCTCTTTGGATTTAACTAGCTTTTCTTTTAATTTGTGAATTCATTTAATGAGTGAATTTCTTGATACAGGGAATGATATCTGTTAACAGACAGGGAACCTCCGGTGCACGAACTGTCTAATGTGTGAGGGAGGAGGGGGCCGGGATGTTTATCTAAGCCATGGGCTGATTTGAATGTTTGGGTATTTAATTTCTGTTGTTTGTGTCTGGCTGGTGCCCATAATTATGGCATCCTCGTTAATGACTCACAGGGTCATGTGCCTTTTGGAGAAGGAACTTAATTCACGCATGAGGGTGAGAATCCTGTGCTTTTTCTTCGACGGCATGAGATATCGGGGCACCTGCCACTGTGGACACACAGCCTGTTAATTGGCTCCTCTCTTGGATGGGATGAACCACTGAGTCAGCCTGTGTTTGTAGCCTTCTGTGGAAGACCTTTCGTTAGTGTGCGTCACTTATAATTTCACATATTAAAAGTATTACTTTCAGATAAGACTGGTATGTTGAGCTTTTAACTTAATTAGTCTGTGTCTCAGGACGGGAAATCCTTGCAAAGCCAATTAAGAAGTTTATTGATGAAAGATCATGATGCTCACGGAGCTCCAAGAGCACGCTGTAGCTCATCACCAATGCTAATAGCCACCCGCGCTTCACTGATCCATCATGCTCCACATGCCGAGAAGGTTAAGGAGCTCGGCTGTGTGGTAACAGGCCAGCTCCACGGGCAGCGGGATTAGAGCTCTGACACTCTGCAAGCCAGCTCTGCTCGGCCCCGTGTTCATTCAGCCGTGAGGTTTTAAGGGCTCCCACTGCAGACGTGCAGCTTGGAAGAGTTGGTGAAGAATGAGTGGTACCTGGCGTAATTTCCTGTGTCCCTGCCAGATAAGGAAGCTTCTTGGTGGTTTTTAAAGGCTTGGGTACCATAAACTGCTGTGATGGCATTGTGTGTCACAGCGGAGGACTGCAGCCGACGGTTGATAGAGTGAACTAAGAGTAGAGGGATCATCACTACTTCTGCATTAGGTGTTAATCACTCACCCCCAAACACAGAACACAGAGCTCACCTGGATAAATGGTTTGGAAAGTGGATGGATGGACAGAGGATCTGACCTCCTGTCTCACTTTCTCTAACCCCTACACACACTAGAGCATTGTTGTGCTGACATTACTTTGCCTTATCTTTACAGCGCTGCCACTGGTTTCAGTCCCACAGAACCTCTAAAGAACCTTTATTATGTGCTTTATATAAGATGGTTTCATTCTGGCTTGGCTTTAGAATCTTTGAAATCAGTCCTGCAATAAAACCTCTTTTGAAAGGCAACCTTGAAGCTGTAAAATTCTGTTATAAAACTTAAAAGCATTTATAGATACTAAAATGTTGTATTCTGCTCAGACTCCCTCTGTAGGTATATTAAGGAAGGCCTTTAAAAATCATTACCTCTCATGCCCTTGCAGTGGGGCCTGTTTTTGTTTTGATGGGTGATGCTGGTCATTGCCAGAGATTGAGAAAAATAGTCAAAGAGCCGGCTTTTCTTTGTTTGGGCCTTTGACGCCATGAAGGGCTTGATACTGCTTTGGTCCTGCACCACTCCACTGGACCTGGAAGATGGTGGTATTTGTCCAGTTCTCGGAATATGGAAGCAAACACAGAGTCCGTTCACATGACTGGTCCCTTTCATGCTGTCGTTTTAACAGCTTTTACCAGTGTAGCGACTTCATCTCATCGTGTGGCAGTTACTCTGAGGATGAGGATGGATATTTTGCTTTCTTGCAGAAACCTTGGAAAATCCGGACTGAGGGTGTCCTGCCTCGGGCTGGGTGAGTGACCAATAGTGCCGTTAGTTAATTGATGATTTTGCTCTCCAAGGATCGTTCCCTTTGTGGAATTAAACTACCTCCTGCTATAGTGAAAGCACCGATATTTCAGATGTGATTGGTTTCTGATACCTGTCCATCTCTGTTTTGTTGCCATAGGAACATGGGTGACGTTTGGGGGCCAGATCACGGACGAGGTACGTTTTTAATTGTTTTATTGTATATTGAATTCCCATTAAACCTGGATCCACCTGCTATCAGAGTATAAGAATGCAAGCCTTTTAATAACAGGAGATGCACTGATGTGGTGTCCAAGACCTGTTCTCTTACACTTGTCCCCCAGATGGCCGAGCAGCTGATGACTCTGGCCTACGAGAACGGCATTAACCTGTTCGACACCGCCGAGGTCTACGCGGCGGGAAAGTGAGTGTTGCAGAAGGAAAGTGAAGCATGCTGGTCCTGCAGACCTGTCGCGTGAAGTGGAGCCCTGTCTGAGATGGGCTCCACATCATAGCCATGACGGAAGCTTCCTGTTGCCTGTTTTATGCCAGTGATTTGTGGCTCTCCAGGTCTAATGGTGGCTTTCTAGTGGACCAAATAACGAAACCAAAAATAATCCCATTACTGTCCTACCCTGTACCCGCTTCAGTACTAATATCCCACAAAAGGTTTATTTGTAAGTCGTCCACAGAGTAATTCATGTAACCGAAGCACAAGTTCTGTGTGTATCCTGGGTATGTGATGTGCCCCATTTAAAGATCTGTAGGAGGGCATGGGATGGCATGTTGAATGTTTTGGAAAGCAGAGCGGGTGCTGGTATTTTTGCGCAGTTCTGTGAGTTAAACTGCTGCCACTTACCACCCGATGCACAGCTCTGTACTGTAACGGAAGCGTCACCTCTGGTTGGCCCAACAGTCTTAGTTTGATCCAGGTTAGTTTGAACAGGAAGGTGTCACACCGCAGCTGCTGGTTATGTAACCAGTGTAGATACAGTGTGGAGTGAGGACCAGTGTAGATACAGTGTGGAGTGAGGTGTTTGGACTGTCCGGGTGGGAGAGGTGCGCGGCGGCCTTGGGTGGGCCGTGCCACCTGTGAACACCCCCCAGCAGTGATGGTCACGCCACACTGCCATACGTCACCCTGCCGACAGACCGAATAAGTCCTGTTACTGTGGGTACCTCAGTCGCTACGGCGCCATGAAGATCAAATTTCGAACTCGGGAGTTTGGGCTGCGTCGGCGTGCCGACGGGTGTCCATTAACTATGAGCAGGGTGCCGGATGATTGGTGCACTACTCCACTGCCAGGCGTGACGAGTGTGGGGTGCCCAGTGGCATAGCCAGGGTGCTCGTGAGCTCTGCAGTGATGTGTGGCCGTGGTCTTCCTTTGGAGCCCCTTTGCTCGTGTCCCTTGATGCCTGGGCGTCCTGGTCGTGGAGAACGTGCCCCCCCCCCCACCCTCACTGGCAACGTCGCCTTTGTGGCGTGTCTGTGATTCTGTGACACTTGCTGCATGTTCATCAGCACGAGTTTTGTTTGTCCCCCTCTTGTGTTCATAATGCCATCTGACTGACTTTGCACGGACTGTTCAGCCCCTCATGCACACTGGTTTGCATTTTTTGAGGGCATCTCCAGGGCTTGACAGTGCAGCACCTGGAGCTCTATGGCTAACGGAGCAGGAATAGCCTGTAGGAACCCCCTCATCCTGATGGGAGGGGCTCTCTTCTCCTTGCCTTGCAAGTTCTTGCTTCCCCAGCCTGTTTTGTGCTCGTGGTAATTCAGAACACCGCTGACCTTCATAAGAATTGCCGTCTCCATAAGCAGATACATCCCGATACGTAAAAGGTAAAAAAAAAAAGAATCCTATGGTAATCAGAAAATAGCCCTTATCCTCAGCAGTTTTAGTCCCACCATCCAGCAGTCTGCTGTTTTGTTGCACGTTCGCAGAATAGCGAGCGCCAGTGAGCCCCTGTCATATGGGCAGGTGTGCTGCCTCCCCCGTCCCCTTTGTGGGTTGGGAAACATGGTGTGTCAGGATGTAAGATGCAGATGGCACTTAGGAGCTGGAGCTGAGCGCACTGCAGGTGTCCTGCTGCCAGATGCCTGTCTGACAGTTCGCAGGACCCCCTGCATGGGGGCCTGCTGTGGCAGCAGTATTAGCTATGGGGTTAACTAAAGTCTACGTTTCTCAGAATCACCCCCTCCCGCATTCCAAACACGCACCGGCCTGGATGTGAAAATGAAAATTCCTTAAACACAAAGAGACAAATCTCTGCGGAACATCAAACAATTAGCACAAAATCTGGAAAAGGTCATTTGCAATGGGATACTGAAGCAGACCCCGGGGGCAGGAATTAAGCAGGTGACATTTAGCGTGCGGCGCGTCCCTCCCTAAGCCCCCCTCTGCCTTGCGAAGGCCTGTGCTGCCGTCTCCCTGCCTCACTGGGCTGTGTGGGAGTGACTGCGCGTCCTCGCCGGGCATCATTAGCCTCCTGTGGCTGAGCGCCGCAGAGCTGCCTGTTGTCGTGGGTAGAGCACGCAGGATGTGTCTGACGCGATACCTTGTGAAAGATGTCGTCTTTTCTGCCGATTTGAATGTTAAATGTAGTCATTTAGCTCATGGTGATTTTCTCTCTCTCTCTCTCTCTCTCTCTCTCTCTCTCTCTCTCTCGCTGTTCACCTCAGGGCTGAGGTCACCCTGGGAAACATCATAAAAAAGAAAGGTTGGAGGTAGGGCTCATTAAGACGCTACCTTTGGAGTTCCATCGCCCTCCTTTGGCCCTGTCGGTCTCCAGCGGCCATAAAGACGGCCCCGTTGCTGAAGGGCCACGTTTCCTAAAGGGCCACGTTTCCTAAAGGGCCATGTTTACTTGGTTTGCGGACCTGCTGTGTGTCTATGTGATACACTCTCTCTACCCGGCACAGTTACTGGTGGTTTTATGCATGTTCGGGCTGAAAGCCTTTGTCATCCGTATGGGTGCTAAATGGCAGCCAAGTGACATGTGCAGTGGGCTTTGTGCCGAAGGCTTCAGGCCGCGTCTCTCTTGTGTTTCTCTTCGCAGGCGTTCCAGTCTGGTCATCACTACAAAGATCTTCTGGGGCGGAAAGTATGGCATTTGTCTCCTGTCTCATTCTCAGACACATACGTCATTCATCTTCTGTCCCTCATGCATACACACACACACACACACACACACACACACACACACACACACAGCCATTTTCTTTGGAGGAGGAGTGATATCAAAAGTTATTCTGTCCTTTCCGTCCATCTATTATGTCTTGCCTCTCTATCTCCACATTACACACAGTCATTGGGGTGGAGGGATATTGCTTTATATCCCAGTTTTACTCTGGTAAAGGGAAATTTCACAGAAAAGACTACATCTGAAGTTTATACCCCGTGTGTGAGTTTGAGCTGTGCAGGTCACCCCGTAACCCGTGTGCCTCTGCCCCCCCCCCCCCC